GGACGTCACGAGGAGCTGCCAGAAATAATTGGGGGGTCCTGTTATTCAGCTGCAACAGTGTCCCACTTTAGAAGACTTAACCGCATGCGAAATGCAAACAATCCACCGCGACTCTGCGGTGCGTTTCCTGAAAGTCTGTCTGAACAGTTTCAAAGGCCTTTTTGGGCGTGAGTTACCGGTAGGATAAGTTTTTGGCCTGCATTATGTCGTCGCAGTTCAACGGGGCAGGGCACGTTTATTAATGTAAATAAAAACGTTACCCGTAGAAGAAGTAACTGCCCGCATAACGTGAAATAAGATTTTATCAGCTTTCCGACCAAACTGTCTTGGAAAATTTCTGGTGTCTCTCTTTTCGCTGAAAACAGCCGACGTCGTCTTTTTATTGCTTGGTAGCTCCCTAAATGTTCTTTCATCGGGATGAACGTTCCTTTATATATTTCACCAGTTTAAAGTATACCGAGGCTCCACCGCTATGTCCGAAACGGTCGGTGACAGGGAGATGTTCTCATCACATTATAGCAAAAGGTGCCTGTATTGGTGAAATACATGGTGCAATGATACGAGCTGGTATTAAAACATGTCACCAGCCACATCTGTTTGAGCCGCAGATATGGCTAGAAGGCAATATGTTCACACACATATACAATATATAATAAAAGCAAAAGCCTTGAAATTCACCTATTTGGTGATAAAGGCTTAGAACCACTTGAAAATAAGCGTTGGAAAACCTGTAATGTTATTCCTTCCATGCCTAAATGCCTTCAGACGTCCTCATAGTGACGTCACTTAAGACTGCCAAACCTATTCTCTACTGAGGTCCGAGCCTTCTGAGCCCGTATATTTGTTTCCAAGCCGCTAGAGACTTTTCACCTAGAGAATTCTAGGGGTATTTGGCGGTACTTTGAGGTTTAAGAAATCTCCCTCCTTTTGCTGAAGTCTTCCCTCGGCCAATAAGAGGAGCGGCGGCACTGGTATCCCGCCCTTGTCGATCCCTATCCACGGCGTTGAATACGATAACGGTGTGCCACGAACCAGGCGGCCAGGCTACCCAGTGCCGCCATGCAGCCAATGGAGAGATGACTGTGGAATGCGGTGTAAGAAGCAGCTAGCGGATCTCAAAAATGCTGAGCATTTGAGCCACGCTGCACATCACTCCTGCTGGCATCCAACAGCGTACACAGCTAGACACCCTGTCCTCCAAGCTACGCGCCCCCTCCCGTTTTTGTCTCCCTCAACACTGCTGTCGCAAAAACGTTTCTTTTTCCGCTGTTCCTCGCCCTTGCGCCCACTTGACCGCTTCCGCCGCGCATCAGATGAAGATTTCCCTTCACATGCGGATGGTAAGATGGTGGACGACAGGTAAGATGCCAGCGTAGCATACGCGCAGCCAGAACCTTAGTAAGTGCGGGGGTGGGGGCATAACGTTGAGAAAGGGCCCTCTGACGCTGGCGGCCCTCAAAGTTGCCGGATATGGCTCGTGTGTCAATGAGAGCATGTTTTCCTTTGATAATTTTCATTTGTTTCCTTCCATAACTGGAAAAGAAGACAGACTTTACCGCCAGACAAATTCTGTCTGAATCTTATAGTAAAGAAGTGAAAAAATCATTAAATGGTTGAAATAAATAAGCCGCTGGCGCCCCCCAGTTTACAATGGTCCAGTGAACTCTTCCTAAACCGATATATCTCAGTAGCTCCGTCAGATTTTTTGTTCGGGCTCTGCAGAGATATTAGGGACCCCGCGAATGTCGATCGTAGATCGACATACATACTATGCCACATACCAATTGTAGTATGGACATACCACAGCAAAAAGTTTGGGGTGTGCTTGCGCTCCGGGTATTTCTGCCGGAGATCGTCACTCGCTGCTTCGAATGCAGATCTCTGTGCGCGGGAGACGCTTGCATTTGTTTTCCTAGCCTTAGGCATAGTTTTTCTCCTCTGTCAGCGAGGATTTCCATGCCCAACCGTTTCAAGATGTGCAAGTACTTTTCCGAACGGGCGAGGATGATTTTCAAGGCTTTCTTCTGCACTTTTTCAAGATTTTGCTCCTGCTTGGCAGTGAGTCTCGCATGAAAAACCGGTACACAATATTCTAGCAATGGCCGGATGTAAGTAACATACAGCCGAGCAAGCTGTTCCTGTGGTGGATGGTACTTCGTCATTATGTAGAGAATATATAGAGTTTTCGATGCCTTGATTACAATCTCATCCACATGTGCTTGTCATGACATGTCATTTGATATTGTTACACCTAAAAGCTTAGTTTTGGTGGCAGCTAGCAGGCCTTTTCTTTGAGTCCTGATGTCGGATAGTGCTAAGGATTTTTTGGCGGTGAAAAATGACTTGACACTTGTCAGTGTTGAATGCCATCTTGTTTGCTGTTGACCAATCACTTATCTTGTCAGCGTGCTCTTGCAACTGGCAGTCATGCCATATGACAGTTATGATGTCATCTTGCGTGACACAGAACAGCCTGTTAGACACTGGGCCCCTGAGCGATACAGAGACCCCGCATTGTTGCAAGGGCCCGGACCAATGCAAATCGCGGGCCCGGCCATGTCCGCGCTTGGGAACTGGGCCCCAAGAGCGCAGACCGACACGGAGCCGACTGTTCGGTGTTGGTGATCTCTGGCAGAAATAGAAGAACACTCTGACTCAGGGGTCCCCAATCGGTACAGGAGCTCCTCTAATTGACATTTGGGATTACAGCCCTACGGGTCAGTAGTCCTTAATGTGACCTTAAGCCAGCCTTTCGGGCCCTTCGGTCTTCCAATCAGGCTTTTAATTTTTGGTCTCGAGAGATCCTCCGGGCCCTCTTCCGGACCCCGTAAATATATATCTCGGCCGACTCGGGCCACTTGCCGCCACAGGACCCCTGTTAGGTCTTGTGGACCCTGACGGACACAGAAGTCACTCATTGTGTCAGCGACCGCGAATATTGCAAATTGCGAAACCCGGCCTTGTTTTCGCGTAGGAAATCGGTCCCTAGAGCTTAGACCGACGCGTAGCCGATTGTTCGGTGTTGTAATTTCTGGCCGAAATAGAGACCCGCACTGTCTCGGGGGTCCCCAATCAGTGCGATAAGCTCTCTGACCGATATAGGTAACTCCCTCGCTTACAGGTAGGAGCATCCTTAAGGTCACCTTCCCTTCAGGCTCATGACCTCCAATCAAGAGGACAATAGGCCTTCCAATCGGGCTCTTGATCTTTGGGTCCGAGGGACACTTCTGCTCCTCTTCGACCTCCTCAAGCAAAGCTATGACCGACCCGGGGCCACTAGCGACACATGACCCCTGTTAGACACTGTGGGCCCCTGACCTGCACAGACATACCCCAACCATTGTGTCAGGGACCCAGACCAACGCAGGTCGTGGCCCACGACCTTGCTCCTGCTTTGAAAAGGGCCCCCAGGGTTCAGACTGACAGGAAGCCAGGTGTTCGGTGTTTGTGTTTGTGGGCGACTGAGGCACCCGTATTATCTCAGTCATCAAACGGTGCAAGGAGCCATCCAACAGTGCGAGGGCCCTCTGACTGATAATTCAGGCCACGACGGGCTGCGATTCTATATGTGATCTACATCCAGTCCTTCGTACCCTTAAGCCCTCAAACCGAGCTATCGATCGGCGTTCTGGTGAGCCGCCCGGACCTTTTCGACCCTGATTGAACACCACCCTTGGTCGGCTCGGGACCCCTTGCGAATACAGGATCCTTTGTTAGGCACTGCTGACCTCTGACAGATACAGGGCCCCCAGCCAGTGTGAAGCGCCGGCCCCGGCTTTGTAGCTGATTTGGAAGTAGGTTCTCAGGTTCATACCAACACGGAGCTAACTGTACGGTACTAGTGGTGCCTGGCCTAAGGATCTTCTGACTGTCATTCGAGGGCACGTTCCCCGGCTGGGTCCCCTGAATAAGACCCAACCAGCCTTTCATGCCCTTGAACCCCCCAATCGGGCATTTGGTCGTCAGTCCCGGTGGGCCCTCCAGAGCTCTCCTGGCTTCCGTCCATCACTGCCTCTGGCCTGACTCGGGCCCTTTGCTAACACAGGGTCTCCGTTAGGCGCTGTGAGCCCCTGAACAGACGCTGGGCCCTCACCAATGTAAATTGCTGGCTTCTGCTTTGGTCCCTGCTTGGCGATGGGCCCTCGAGCCCATGCTGACAAGGAGCTGGCTGTGTGTTATTGATTTCATATTGCCTGACGGACGCATAGGCTATATAGGCTTAATCGACTGAGAAGCGCCCCTGAACAGCACGCAACGACCCTCTAGCTTGCATAGAGTGCACAGCTCTCGGGACGGGCCTCTAATACGACTTCTGCCGGAATTTTGAGCCCCTCGGGCCCTCAACTTGGGCTCTTTACGTCCCCGAGAGCCCGAGGACCCCTAGGAACCAAACTGGGATCAACGTACCCCCTGCGCCCACTGTCTGCGCTACTGGTGCATATCGAAAACCATAAGTGTGGATGCTTGAAGGGAGGAGGGGTGAGCCTGGTCCCGTAGACTTTCTGAATTTTGAATATTTGCCGCAAGAAAATAAAAGAATTCCTCCGCGCCGCCTCTTCCGGCCCGCCTGCGCACTGCGGAATGTTGTCGTGTTAAGCATCGTTTCAGTCCAAGAAACTCCGCTGAATTATTTGTTTTGGTTTTTAAAAGCCGTCCCTACACTGGAATTTTTGCTTTCTCGCAGGTTCAAAACGTTAATTCTATAATGCACCACTACTACATACAGCATGCCCGTGCGTTTAGTAGCCTCATTTACTCTAAGTTGGCAGCATTGCTAGTAAATCCTAGTCACTAGAATTCCTAGGCTTATCTTGAGATATTTCGTCGGGAAAAGTCTCTGGCGACTTGGAAAAGTATATACGCCACCTGAACCCTGGCAACAGTATTCTCCGTTTTCGTCGTCTCGTCAGTCGTGGAGTGTGTGAATTGGGGTGTGGGGTGGGCATGATGTGTGATGTGGTTTGTGTTTTCTGAGCATTTTGTGGCCGAAAGTGGGGTGGTGTGGCTCAAGTTGTCCGAGAGAAGTTCAGGGACTTTTTATAGGCCGGATGAAGTATACAACACAGTGGAACGTGTGAATGGCCCACGCAAACTGCGTCGGTTTTGCCGTTTTGCTCTTTGTATAACGTATTTCAAGACAAGAAAGAACGGGCAGCCAAGAAGCCATATCACGTACGAGCAAGCTCTGAGAAGTCCGTGATTGGATCACCTATTTAGCAAGATGGGAAGATCCAGCTCTTTCCTATTGACTGGAAGGACTTGGACAAGTTACTTGGTAGTGTTGCAGCTTGTATGCTGCGTTGGCGTAGCGAAAGGGCAGGGGCTTGGATGTGACCGGACTGCAAGAGCTTTTAACACCTACAAATTGGCTGCCAATAGTGTTCCCTCACATGACATTCCAGGTAAGCATTGATGACCACCATAGAAGGCAAGAGACATGGTGGATTTCCTGTGATTCAGTTGCTTAAAGTGGCATACCAGTTAAGATATTTGGGGTGAGTCTGGTCCTGCCCCAAATGGGGTAGCCAGCTTCTCTGCTTTGAGGCAGGGGATGGTGATTAATGGCTGCAAAGGCTTCAAGCATTTTCCCTCAGGAATTTGTGCATGCCGACCATTGATTACCCCTACTGTTCTGCTCAATATTGATCCAAATTGTGCTGAATATGCCATCTAATGTTTTGGGTTACATCCTTAAGCTATGAAATTTACAGCATTTCAGAATGCATCAAATAGTGGTTAGGATATCTAGTTCAGGACCTGATGATCTTAGGTTGGGAGTCCCTGCTACACCACTATCCTATGTAGTACACCTAACAAAGGCATCCTTTCTCAAATTGGCCTTGACAGTGAGTAGGATATAAGGCTGATATCATTAGTGTATGCAGGACCTTGAATGGTTTTTCAGTGTGGTTGATGAATATTATTTGCTCTCTTCTTTCATACATAACCTTTCAGAAAGATAACATGTTTAACAATATATGTAACCTTATCCATATGGTGTTACCAGGTAACATTACCAAACGGTTGATCACTGGTGCACTTTTTCATTGAGGGGTATATATTTTGTTTAGGGCTTGGGGTAATGATAAACCCATGATGTTCATGCCAATATCATTCACCATGATTCTAGCATGGTGCTATAACTAACTAGCAAAGTAACTAGAATAAGAACTCATGTGCAAGTAATTTAGCTCTATTGTCTATACTTTTGGTAGTTCAGAACGTGCAATAAGATATTACAAATCTTCCAGAAGCATTGAAATCAGTCACCATATCCTGGAAATGATTATTTCAGATATTATATATGTGGATGATCCTTGGTTGATAAAAATTGAAAAGGTAGCTATTAAATGCCGCGTTAAGGATACAGTAGGTAGTGATCAGCCCAGACTGCATATATTAATGATGCTATGTCCAATATCAGGTATCAATTCTGTCTGCTGGGAATATATAAATGACCATGAAAATCTCAATGCAACAAATTGATAATGTAATTTTTGATAAATTGCCAGTAACATTGGCATGAGCCCTGGTATGCTGTCTAGGCATGACCTGCAGCATATTTTCTTTATCACACATTATCATACAGCATAGGACTTGTGCTAGTGCATGGTTAATTTGCAGAAGAGGATGCTGGTTTCACACCCCTATGTCATCTGGTATGGGGCTGTTAGGGGGGCTGGGGCTGTATAGGTGAATGTAACTGGTAATGGTTGCATGTATTTCCATGTTATGCTCACTTGACTCAGGCACATTTCCCATGTTATCTTCAGGTTCTACTTATCCTTCCTGTTTCTGCTTCTACACATTTCCTGCTGCCAGGAAGCAAAGTTTTTTTTAGCTGTTCCTAGGCGGCATGTTGCTGAAGTACTCATTGATTCATCATAAGGGTGCCTCCAGCCCACAGATGCCATTTCAGTCACCAAAGTAAATAAACAATGTTGGGAGCTTGAATTGGTTCATAAGTGGATGACCAAGAAGCTCAATATCATGATGACTGTCAGAATTCCCTATACCATCTATGTGGATGTGGATGTTACAGAAGAGGAGAATCCTCTTAGAGCTTTCCCATTTATTTCACTCTGGCTTGTCCATCAACTCCACTGGTCTGTCAACATTGCAGCTACAGCTGCTTCTGTGATCTTCACTGATTATTGTTTTGTGGGATGTAAGTGCAGTCACTGCATTTGTGTCCCAAACAAATTGTCATCATTTCTTTGCCCAGTGAAGAATTGGTGCCAGGGTTGTTTAAGAACAAAGCATCTTTTGCTGTGACTGCATACAATCATTACTCCTTTCCCCAATTATGCGGCTAAACCACCAGTCATGGCCTTTCACGAGACGAGTAAAGATGCCAGCTGGCCCACTGCTGAGGGCGGCCAACAGCTCCCAGCTGAAGCCGCCCTGTGGTGGTGGTCCTCGTGTGGACCTGGGTGGGTGCTGAGGCGTGAGACTACACACCTGGCGAAGAAAAGGAACGTGGCAAGACTTTGCAATAGTCCCCAGATAGGTTCCTGTTTCTGTTCGAACGTTGCACCTTTAGTTGGCGATGTGTATAGGCAGCAAAGCGGCCGCTCTGACGATCAATTTCGAGGTCGTTTCGTCGGCAGGTGTTCCAGATCGTGATTATTCTAGCGAGTCTCGTTCACGTGGGATCTTTACTATTTGCCCGCTGTCGGGTATCGGGTTCTCTCTTCGATGAACAACTGTTGGGGTTAAAACAGCCAACGAATGTTGGAATTTGGATCACGTAGTGGTAAAATGCGCATGCGTTGTGAATTGACCAAAAACAACAGTGATGCTATGCGGTAGGTCGCAGTGCACCCACAGTTACACCAAAACGGGGTAACGCAATTATCCCGCTCCACGACGCACGTTGGTTCCGGATACAAAAGTGTCCGGTAATGAAATCCGGACCGAGGTTTGATAGGTGTTTCATCGAAACTCCCGGGTTCTTGTGAAGACAAAAGAAAATGTATTGGAGTCTGATCCTGAAATTACCATCCCATCTCACGCAATCTCCCACCTCGCTGTTCTTATTATAGCGCGTACCTTTTTTGCCCTATATTAGCACATATTATATTAGCACAACCTGCCGTACCTTTTTTGAAAAATTGGGACTTAACCTTTCAATGGGGCAATTCATGTCGAATAGGCTAGGTATTTTACGTATCGCCTGTTCTCACATAGGTGTCACAACACCAGTGCTACGGCAAAAAGTCCTGCCGGCAGGAATCCTTCAACATTAGTTCTACGCGACATTCTTCCTCCCGCAAACACCTTCACAGACTACCTGTACGTGACAACACTTCTAATGCAAAGAATTGCACGCGGCTTGAGTGCCACTCAACATAATGCATGTTTCCAAAGCATGTACCGGTCATTACCTCTAACGCAAAGGCAGAGGCAAAGTTCTTCACTGACACACGGCATTACGTTTATTGCAAAAAACTTGTGCACGATGTGAGTGCTGTATGACACAGCTTATGCCATAAAAACTTATACCTGTCATTATGTCACCTGCAAAAACCTGGATAGTCATTAGTCATAAGTGACATTACTTCTACCGCTAATGCTTATATACGGTAATGGTTTGGTACGATATGCGACAGTGGTGCTATGCAATACAGGCCATACTTCTTAAATTATAGCTGTCAGCATTTCTAGTGGTCCCTGACTCTCGCCCAAATTCCGGAGAACTAGCACATGGGAGCAGTTGGACGGGTGGGGTCAGACTAAAGGTACCCACTCCATGTTGTCGATGTAATGGTACTGTGCACATGGGCATACGATGAGCAGACCCACAACTGCAATATGTCTGGTGGAAAAATATGTATATAATATAAAATAATATAAAGAATTTAAAAAAGAAGAAAAAAATGATAGGCTGGCGGTATTTTTCGGCGACAGTTTATTTTTGAGACGGACGTTGTTGCACATCGTCATTTTCAGCAGAACGTCTGCGCTTTTGTATTTCGATCCGTCCTGTTGCATGAGCGTCATGCTGTGGTTCAGTTCTTATGACCAGCAAGGCACGAGCATTTTCTTAAAAAGGAGTGTTTCACATTTGTGTAGGATCTTGAAATGAAATAGCTATCTTGAACATCGTCCGGTGCACTGCCCTTGTGAAGGCGTAAACCCTTCTAGTTTCTGAGCTACATGCCCGCGGAGATGTGCAGACTTTTTCGGGAGGCTATTTCAAGGTCATCCAGGTATCCATGACGCCACAATAACGTAGTTCAAATCCTGTCATTCCATCGACCAAGCGGCGATCAAGGCCAAGAAAAATATAATTGTCGAGTCGTTCATATCAGAGGCTCATCAGCACGATTTGCAGATGTAACGGCCGCCAGCTGGCTCCTAATCAGCGTTATGTAACGTACGATGACGTCATCAAGCAATGTCGTGCTGAGGAGCATTAGCAATATAGAAATTGTGTTGTGTAAAGCAGTCTTCTTTCCTTAAAAGCGTACCAATAGTCATAAGTGGACTTTTTATCATATCTGATGCTTGCCTTGATGTATTGAAATGTGGGGCGCTCCCTTTAAAAGCGATTGGATCTGCCAAAAATAGTTTTGTGGCTGAACCCGTGAAGGGCTGTCTCCTTACACTGTAATGATGAGGCAAAGTCGTGGCCGTAACAGTATAGTATGGGGCCTAGGACCACTGGTGATGCGCTAATGTTGGTCTCGAGCAGTGTTTTAACACGCGCTCGGGTGGCCAAAATGCAACGCGTTGGGGTGAGGGGGCCAGTTTGAGCCTCTCCTGGGAATAAGATTAGGATAGTTAGAGAGACTAAATTTACAGAGTAAGTGACCCTTTATGTGGGGTCATTTTTGTCACAATTTTAGATCTCAAGGTATTGAATTTGGGATCAAATAAGATAAACTCGAGACTGGTTTAGCGCTCAGACCCGCTCACGCAACCAGCTTTAACCTAAGTACTTAACCTAGGTAACATTTGTCTTAGGGTCGTGTCAGGTCAGTGACCTTAGACATCATTTAGAAGGCCACAATTACCATAAATCTTCGAGAGCATTTTGATGTCTTCATTTCAAATCCCCGTCCCGAACTACAGTGGACTCATGTTTCTCACATCAAAAGGATGATCCAAGTCACTTGAGGTCAATGACCTCCCTTGACCTTCATCGACTGGATCTCCTGTGATGGCACTCAACATTCATCGTTTTCGTCGTTTCACATGTTCCCAGTTCGCTAGATAGTTGCTGGTACTTCGCACATGTCACAAGGCTCGTAAATTCATCTGAAATAGAACGTCACGATTTATGTTCGGAAAGCAGAATATTCCAACGGACCGGTCACAAAATCTGGGGCCCAGAAACCAAACTGAACGCTCATTTTTGTTTGGAACAGGCCATATGTGTCGTTACGCCCGTGGCCCG